TAGGCACACTCTAAATCATCAACCACATTGCTCTGTGGCCCCATAATCTCCTTGATCAGAAAATTTGGGACACAACTGAGTTACATGATGTTACAGTATAGGGTCTCATATGTCCTGAGTCTTCACTGACCTTGAAAGGCTAGGGCCAAAATATTGGCTGTCCTTGCAGCCCTTCTTTTTCTCTAATTTTTTGTCTGCAAACTTAGGTTGTTAACCCTCCAGAATATGTTAGCTAAATCTTGGAAACAACTAAAATGACCATTAATGGAGAAATGGATAAAAATGCTATGGCTTTTTTGATACAATAGAGTGCCACTCAGTTATAACGGAGGATAATCTTGAGACTTTATAGGTAAATGGATGTAATGTGAGATGATATTCATGCATGAAAATCAGACTTACTGGTGTAAACACTGTATTGGGCCAGTAGTGTGGAATGCTGCAAGAGTAAATAAGATCCAAAATGTACAATAGATGTTGAGAAAGGGGAAGAAAGTATTCAAAAAGAAAGAGAAAGTGGGATAGGAAAAGGAGAAAAGAAGGAATGGTAAAGGAAAAAATATATATACAAGACAGTTAAGATACTTATACTACTAACTGCTATTATTTCATTGGAAAGAAATGTTTGGGCTTATATTATCTGATCTGTTTTTCATGCCTAAATCTTGTAATCTGAGCAGCTACTTTGAACATAGCATGTCACAATGTATTAATCATTGCTACTGTCTTGCTATCTCATTTTGAAACTTCATGCTATTGTTTTTTATCTTTAAAAATTAAAGTGGCAGAAAATAAATGAAAAAAGTGGGAGCAAACAACAGCAACAAAAACAACAACAAATGCACCCAAAAGAAAAATAATCATGGAGTTGAATGGAAGAATCCTGGCAGAAAAAAGATTCTCTGCAGTGTTCTATTTACTTAAAATTCAGAAAACAACACATGAGTCTTGGATGTTAGATAAAGGAGGCCACCACCCTTCTGTGGATTTGTAACAGGTGTTGTGGTTGTAATGATGTAAGTATAGTATAATACCTATTCACTTTTAGAAGTAGAAGAGACTGAGGCAGAATTCAATTTAGTTTAACCCCTGCCTGTACTTACATAGAATCAGCCTTGTCTAAATTACCCCATTCCTCACTCTTTCCTCTGCCCTGTCAAAACTTCACAAACATGTAGGAGATAAGGAGAAGACAAGTCCCATTTGGGGCAATAAGAGACAGACTATTTGCCTGTGCTTAACCATAAATCCCTTTGCCTGAGACCTTGCACCTATAAGATATAGAGGACACTATATTCCTGCCCAGTTACCATAGCAACAAAGGAACTATAAAAGCAGGTAGGGAACAAAGAACTGGGCCTTTGTGTCTTCCCACATGGGGAGGGGAGCACATAGGTCACCAGCTGATTAATATAAGTTCTGTAATTCCTTTTAATTTGGTCTCCCCATGGGCAATATATCCAATCCTGGCCATCACAATGGGAAGAATAAGTCTTCAGAGATGTGCTATGTCCTGACTTGTTTCTTGAATTTATTCATTTTGTAAAAAATTCCTCAAGCTGAACATTACAATTCATGTGCACTTTTGCATAACTTACACATACATAATAATATATTAATTATAACTACCTACAAATCTCCATGAATAGTGAGAGTGTACTTGCACAGTCACATTTATTGATTTATTTATTTTTTATTTTTTTGTGGAACCAGGGATTGAACTCAGGCCTTTGAGCTTGCCAGGGAAGCTCTTATTCCACTGAGCCATCTCCCCAGCCCCAGTCACATTTATTTTAGCAGTAGTCACACTTCCCTAGAAGTGAGAATCCTAAAAATCAATTTTTAGATGAATGGATTAGCAAAAGGTAGTTTTGCGGGTGTACTTCAGTGGCAGAGCCTTTGCCCAGTATACAGAAAGTCCTGAGTTCCATCTGTAGCACCTGAAAAAAAGTCAAATATTTGCTAAATACATGTAAAGAATATTATGTAGACTTTGGACAGAAGGAAATCTCATGCTATATCAAAGTTTGGATGAAGTCTGATGTCAGTGTACTAAAATGGAGTAAACTAGTTCTCAATATACAAACAGTATATTATGTCATCCATAAATGGTAGCAAAAATAGTTGGAGACACTTAGAGAGTAGAATTCTGATTGTCAGGGGCAGGGCATTTGGAGGGGAGTTGTTCTAGTGGAATAGAGTTTCAGTTTTGCAAATGATCTATCTGTTACCTAATAAGATACATTTATTTACTACTACGGTAACGCACAATTCAAAATGGTACTGAATTGGTAAAAATGGTTCAAATGATAAATTTTATGTAATGTATTTTTAAATGACAATTAAACAAATGAGAGGAAGAGACCATTATTTTTCTAGTTAAACAAATGTAATCCTGATACATTGTCTGTTAAAATTCCACCTGCTGACCTACTGTACTCTATGGGCCTCGTGCTAGTCAAGGGTTTGGCTAATAGCTCTAAAGCCCACTGAAGTTCATTTGTCTATTCCCTGGGGTTCTCAGACTTTGAGGGAGGAATCTTACTATCCCAGGCAGACTTGAGCTTCACGAAGCCCCTGATTTCCTCTCTGTAAAAGGTACCAAAGACTGGTAGAGGACCTCTTTTGTCCACATTGCTTTGTTCCAGGGGAGAAAGACATGATCAGAGCTATTTTGGAAATCACACGATTAAACATGTGTGCTGTGCTGCCCATACCCCAGGGCCTCTTGGTTTGTTCCTCTCATTAGCACCACTTTGCAGAAGCAGAGAACAGATAACCTGGCTCAAAGTACATTGTCACTAAGTAGACAAAACAGCACTTAAGTCCAGGTGAACTGGAGTCTGCAATGATCCTCTTACTCATTTGGATATGGTACCTCTCTTCTGTGGGCTGCATTAGAACACTCAGTTGAAGTTCAACAGGCAGAGAACTAACAGCCATGAATTAGATGTGGTTTTCTCACTTTTACCACATATTGTTGCATATGTGAGCTAGAAACTGTTGTGATTTGGGAGAGTGCATCTCTTATTTTGGGGGACTTCATCTCTTATTTTCCAGTCAGAAAGTCAGAATGTGGAGGCCTCTGTGATTGAGGAGAAACCTCTTTACAGATACTCTAGCATTTGATCGCCATGAGCCTGATCTCTACTGATCTTTGGGTTGACCATGTCCCAAATTTCACCTGGTGTGGAGGATGCACTTTCCTGGTCCTTGCATTGTTTGGTAGATGGATACCTAGCTCCAATTGGCGAGCTTATACTTCAGGTTACATCAGGCCTATGTGTCAGACACTGTCAAGAAAGAGTAGGCAGATGTACAGCCCATATAACCAGGCAGGTGTTCTTCAGGCAAATTCCAGGGCAACATCTTGCACTTGGACCATGGCTGTACTGTGGCTGGTGCTGCCCCTGAGCCTGCTCATTTTTTTCCTGGGAGTCTTTGTGTGGGCCGTCTTGAAGCATTTCCTCACCACAGATGTCCCCTCTACTTTGAAACATCCCATAAAGTTAAGAATTCTGCATTGTGCATTTCTATATGTGACCACTTTGGTGAGTTTATGCTCAGGCCCCATCATGAGTTGGGGTGCTCTCTCTCTATTTTGCCTTCCCATTTCCTCTTTCATTTGTCCTTGTTCTCTTGAGAGTCCCTCAAATCAGAGCTTGCTCCATTCTTTAATTTGCCATTCCTTATCTTCTTGTTTCTGCTTTCCTTCTTTATCTCCTCTCCCTGTTTCTGTCCTTACCCCTCTATACCTATTTTCATCCCTTTTTTATCCTGTGACACAGGGCCAGTAGTATTTATGTCTTCGGGTGGGTAAAATCATGACCTGTGGGTTGGCTAAGCTCAAGTGTGAGGCTCATGTGCTTATGAGGGGGTTAGTAGAATGTGCTGTGGGGACAGTTCGGTGGAGTAATATATCTGCTTCTTCACTGTCTCCTGTAGCATGTTTGCTTCTTTGCTTCCAGTTCAGTTTGAATGGAAGAGTTTTTATTGCTATTGCCCTTCCTCTGTACTGTTTGTTTCAAAGCCAGCTGATCATGGACTTAACTCTCTGAAATATTGTGAGGCAAATAAAGATCTCATTCTTCAAGTGGTGACAATAAGGTATTTTGGGCTATTGGAGGGAAAGTGACTAACAGAGACAACTGGTTCCATAAAATGGGAGGCATTTCTGTCCCTGTACCTGGCCATTGGGTCCAGAAGCTTTAGTTTGTGGGGAGACTTTGGAAAGGTTTGGAGATGCAGGCTGCAGAAGCCCTGGGATGTTTGTTGTAAGTAGTGCTTGGTGACTCAGAGCTTAGAAGATCAGAATGCTCATAGGAGTGATGAGTGGAGAACAGCTTTAATCCATAAATAACAGTATACCATTATAATCTAATGAACAATAAACATGAGAATGATAATTATGTACAAATCTAATTCTTAAAAATTTGAAGTACAATTCTCTGCAAACTTAGATTCACCAAAGCCATTAAAGAAATGCTCATGTAAAACTTAAAGGCATAATACTAAAATGTTTTACAAAGAACCAGAAATATACACCGTGAGGGTGAAGAATAAACATAAAATTTTCTGTGGCCCATATTATATGGTGCACAGTTTTGGTATCAGATAACCTGATTCTGAGCTCTGAATGTCTGTTACCATTTTGAAACCTTAGGTTTTCGAGGCTGTTTCCTTCTCTGAAAAGTGAGGAGAGACAGGGAGGCACTTTATAGGAGTGATGATGTTGGTATTAGATAAGAAAAGCATCAAAATCATGCAGCACTACGTTAGATACTCAGAAAGGAGTTCGACAGAGTACATCAATAGTAATGTGTTGATCAAATCCCTGAAGATCAACATTACAGCATTTCCTGAAATTATTGTAGACTTAAAAGTGTCCATGAATTGTTTTGATCCCACTATAAAACATAGGCAGCTAGAAACACAGATCAGTGGTGGAGTTCTTGATTAGGTGCAGTGAAGTTCTGAGTTTGGTCCCCATTAGGGAAGAGAGACAGAGACAGAGATGGAGACGGAGACGGAGACGGAGACGGAGACGGAGACGGAGACGGAGACGGAGACGGAGAGGGAGAGGGAGAGGGAGAGGGAGGAGGAGAGGTAGAGGGAGGAGCAGAGGGAGCAAGAACAAATTACTACTTTTATCTTAAAGAGCTGATTATGCTAGAATATTTTATAAAGGACTTTCAGTACATACCTAAAGTTCTGGACCTTAAACATTTCTAATACATATTTATAAAAACAATAATATTTGTAACAATAACTGATATTCTTTATATCTGTCTTACATGCATAAGTGATTGTATTTTACTACATGTCTTCCAATAATAATAATAATAATAATAATCTTCCACACTATCTATGTCATAAATTACTCTAGTTGTGCAAAATATTCTAAGAGTAAGTAATGAAAAAAGCAAACTGGACCAAACCAATGCAAAATAATGTACCTTCAAGGCATATCTGTGACCATATAATATTTTAGGTTTAAGTTCAACATCACGCTGCATTGTTCCAGATTCCTTGAACAAACATTGTTTGTTCTAGAAGTTGGAGAACTACCTAGGAATGAGATGAGATATTTATTGACAAGAAGCATTTGTTTTGATGTAGCAGACACCTGGGTGAGGATATACCCATGCAATAAAGCCTTGAGAGATTGCTAAAGAAATTTAAGGAGGGTAGCAAGAGTCTCTAAGGAGGAAGAAGCCACCATTAGGGGAAAGAGAATGCTTTGCACAAGAACATGACCTCTGAGCTTGGACATAAAGTAAGTTGGGAGCGATCCATGGCGTGTGTGTTGCGGGGGATGGCAGGTAAGAAAGGCTCCTAGGAAATAGTGGGAGGTGTAGCTGAGCCAAGAGGGCACTGAAAAATTGCAGTTAAAGAGGCCTAGATTCCACCTCTGCCAACAGAGGTGCCTTGGTGTCAGGGTGCTCTGAACTGAGCTGGAGAAGGCCCAGTTGGCTTAGCTTGAGGCCTAGAATTTTCAGATGTGAGTTAGGTGGTTTGTTGAAGCAGCCACTTAAAGAACTGAGCTAAGGGGTAGGCCCCCTGTTAGGTGGTTTGAAAGAAAACTTATCCTTTTGGGTCAACTTAATTCTTCCAAATTAAGTAGGGAAACAATTGGGGGGCTAGTGGGTAGTTGCATGAACTGTCTGTACCATCTAGGGCACAAGGCAGGTGAGGACTGCAACTTCTTTATCATAGGGCTTATGTCATTCATCTGGTCCCTAATCCCTCCTTCCTGAGGAGTCAGGTAGACACTGAGCAACCAGTGTGGTGGCAGTTGGCTTAAGTTCTACCATGACTGGGGCCTGATCTATGGCCAGACTGAGCAGAGAATCAGGGCCAAAGTCCAAATAAGTCTCTGTTGCCCTCAAGGGCCTTTCAAACTGTCCTGGCCTGTACACTCCATTCCTACTCCAGAGGGACAGTCAGAGCCAAGGTCAGCCACAGTGCTGGCAGTTCTAGATCATCTCTCTGTCCCTGAAGTCCATTTTTGCCCTTACTTTGGCTAATCAATCCCTCTCTAAGAAGAGAAATGGGCAATCTGGCATATATAGGAACTGATGCATCATTTCATGGCCTACTATCTTACAGATCTGTGGCTGGCAAAAAGCTTGAGCTTTAGACTGCCCCATGGCTCCCTTGATAGCAACAGTTTGTTGGCCTAGAGGCTGGATACAAGATGTCTCAATGGAATAGTGCACTGTGGGGTCTAGCAGGAATTTTATTGGCTGGTCCCCACATTTGTGTAGACCATAGGCCCTGGGGGGAGATCAGGAACCTGGATTCTCTCAGGCCTCAAAGGGAGAGCTTCTCCCTCCTACTTGATAGCAGAGCTGGCTGCCTCATGTTCTCAGCTTGCTCAGCCATTCTCTTTAACTTTGGACATTCCTGCTTGTGATGGTCCTCGGTACACTGGTCTTTCTTCAGGGATGGACACACCTTGCAAGTGCGTTTCTTTTCTCATTTGGTTTCCTTTATGTGTCTGGAATCTCTACTGTTCTGCCTACTGGGACTACAGCAGTGAGGTCAGCCTTCATCTTCGTTTGTCATTTAGATTCTCCGTGTTCCTGTACATCTCAGTTAACAGACACCTTGTTGGCGACTTTCAGGCGCTGGGCCATATTCATACCTGTGAAGCCTTCTAGCTTTTGAATAGCCATAGCATTCTGGCTCACAAAAGCTGTGGTGATCATCGTCTGGTTCTTGGGGGTTCTCTACATCAGAGTGGTAGGTATGGTGTGCTTCACAGAGGCCACCAAGAAATACACTCAGATTCTTCTCTGGTCTCTGGAGGGTCTCTTCTACCTTGGCAATATCGGTCAGCTTCTGGCCTCCATGTTGCAGGCCATGTAATGGCAGTGTGGTAGTCCTTCAGCTGTTTCAGTTTGTTCAGAAATGTTGGAATTCCAGCTGGATCCTCTTCAGGAAGCTGTTACCTAGCATAGATGCTTGGATCAAGGGTGCTTTGGGGGATGTTTTCTTCTAGTCACTTAGTAGCAGCAGGCTGAACACAGTGGCATTCCTTGGTGCTGAAGAGAGTAGTCAGAAACCAAGTAGGGTTATGAGTCTGAACGATGGCCTGCAGCCAGTCAGTGAGTGTTGTGGCCTCTCAGTGTGTGAGGGTGACATTTCCAATTCAATAAATCAATGGTGGTACAAGGCTGATAAATGAAAGAAGGTTGCTCCAGGCCCTGGAATGTTCTGCACCCTTTCCGGAGAGGAAGCTGAGTCTTGAATCAAGAATACACCTCTGCTGTGCCCAGAGAGTTGGGAGAACCAGGTGATGGGAGCTTGGAGGTGTGCAGGAGAATGGAAGCAGAAGACAGCCTACAGGAGTGTGGCAAGGGCTGGGAGAGCATTTCCTGGTTGGGGGGCTCCTGGTGTGTTTGTGAGTCAACCACAGGGCTGGGTGCCAGGGGTGTTGAAGGTCTCTAACTCAGGCCTCATTCCTTGAATATAAGAGGATGGCTGCTCTAAAAGGAGGTCTTCTGAGTCACTGGAAAAAATAAATGGTGGGCATTTATTTAAGTTGGTGACTGTGGCAGCCAGAACTCTGGAAAGGGGCTCCCTCAACCAAGGATTTGGGGGAGAAATAACTAGCTGTAACAATGAATCCACATACATGGGGAAACTGATGTCGGTGTCTGAGGTCTCCTGCCAAACTCTCTGGACCAGAACCTTTTCCAGTGAACACTGCACTGCCCATCCAACCTGAAACGTTTGCCATTCTACTTTAAAGGACCTAGAGTTTCCCAGGAGAGTGTCTCTGTCCAGAGGCTCCATTGCATTTCTTCTTAAATTTTTCATTCCTAACCCCTAACAGAGTGGACTTACCCTGACTCCCAGTGTCGCTTACTTTTCTCTCATTGCTGGCATGAAATACTCAACATTCCAAATTAAGGAAGGGAAGGTTTATTTAGCTCACAGTTTGTGGAGGTTTTAGTCCATACTTGGCTGGCTCCAAGGCAGAGTGGCACATAGCAAAGGGCAGCAGTCCATGGTGGTGGAAAACAGGAAAACAACAAGAGCAAAGAGGTAGGTGCAAAGTCAACAACAGTAGCAGCAGCAAAGGCAGCCTCTCTCCCTTCCTCATATTGCTTCAGACTATCTGTGCCAGGGCAGCTGTAGCTCTTACACCCATAATCCCAGTAGCACTCACACCCATAATTGCAGCATTGGATTATGAATTAATCTCAAGCTCTAGAAATCTGCCCCATGACTACATGAGGCTTTGCGGGGACAACTAGACACAAACCATAACACTCTCTTCCATGTATCTTGTTACCCCCAGAGAAAGATAACAGGAGACATTAATTGGTTTGTCTGTGAACTGACTGGTTTTTTTGCAGAGAGTTGTAGGCCTGTCAGCACCGTTGGGCCAGTGGCCCTGGCTTTGACTGCAGTGCTGCCCTAAGTTGTACAAGGAAGGCATGGACCCACATGGGTCAGAACTCTACACCTCACTGTGGCCTTGCGCCCACCAACTGATATTCAGGGTGTGATGCCCCCTCAATCCCACACTCACCTATGTCCTGTAAGACTCACACCCACCAGTGGCAGCCTGGAGTGTTCCAGTGTCATCGCATTCCGGCAGCAGCTAGTTGAGGGACACAAGAGGAGGATCAGCCTCCTCTGGAGGTCATTGCATGGGTCGCCTTCTAAATGGAGACCCTCCTTCAGATCCCTCTATGAATTGGGGCTCCTATCCTTACTGTGATTCAGATGTCCGCCAAATGCCTTTTGGTCTTCTCCAACTTTCAGCTGAGGTTCTTTGCCTGCTGAGTGGGGTGGCCTCCCCTGGATCACTCCCAGCCTATCTAGCTACTTGGCTCTGTCCATGGGGAAGGAAATCCCCCACAGTTGGTTGTGTCCCTGTCAGGGAACCAAATGCAGCAGGAGACTGAACGGAATCTCTGACAGAACTGGCAAGACTCAGAGTAATAAGCCAAAGAACAGTTTATTACCAGTGATGAGTGTCTACCTGAGAGCTGAGAACAAGGCTCTGTTTGCACTTTTATATTGTTTCTATACTATGGGGCAATTTTCCACTGGAAACAGCACAAAGCAAAGTTACAAAAGCAAAGTCCTTGATGAAAGGACAATGAACAGTGACCCAGGGAGGCAGGGACTTCAGACAGGCCTTTGCAAATCTGTTATGCTCCACTGACATTACCTTACATCTGAACATGATCATGACTGGGGTCAAAGCCACCAGTCTTCTCAGGGAGCTCAGGGAGGCCAATTTCCCCAGGCCACTTACCCGTACAGTTAACCCACAGTGGTTCAGTTTCACTGGGAGGGGGGGTCTTCTCTCTCATCACCTCTTAATATTGTTACAATGGTTTTGAAATTTCAACATGAACTTCAGAAAGGACAGACACTCAAAGCATTGCAACATAATTTTTTTTTTTTTAGATTTTATTTTATTTTTTTTTTGGGGGGGGGATTCTTTTTTTCTCCATAATTTTATTGAGAAACAAATAGCAATGAGACAGTTTCAAACCAAATTGGCAGGACAGTTTCAATAATTAACACATTGCATACATTCTTCCTAGTGGTTAATTGCTATACAAGATGTGGACATGATATCCTATTTACAAAAACCATTAGAACACATCCCTCTATTCATTAAAAGAATATAACCATATATCTATCCTAACCACTTCAAATACACAGATACAAAATGGGTATTCATCTGTATCCCTTTTTTTGTCAAGTTCTATTATGTGTGTAAACTCAGCAAAATATTCTAAAAGAGTCCAGCAGCCCATAATAGTATTGGGTCTTCTGCTTCACTGGCAATGTCAGAAATTGTTGACCTGAGTCCACTACAGCTCAACATAACACCATGGCTTTATTTCTTATATTTCATTTTTATGCTTTTCTTCTGGAATGTTAAGACCAAGGTAAAGCAGGACCTATACAACAAGAGTTGTAGCTTTTGGGTCTGATAAAGTCAGTGAAATCCCCTCAGGATTTATCCTGAGATCCTGTACCTCAGATTGTAGAACCTTTGTCAGTGTCAGCCATGTGGATGAGTCACAGCCATTGCTTGGCCAACATGCTCTCTGTGAAAGCCTGAGAGAATGTTTTCTCTTCATGTGACTCTCCTTAGGCACACTCTACATTATCTATCACTTTCCTCTTTGTCCCCATAATCTCCTTGATCAGAAAATTTGGGACACTACTGAGTTACATGATGTGCAGCATCATTTTTTAATCGACATCACTTTCCAATCATTTTGGAGGAAGACCTGCAAACCAAGTTCCCTGCCTCCACATAAGGCGGAGCTCACTGAGATGCAATGGGGAGACCACACATGCAGCAGACAGAAAAGAAACATGAGAAGCCTTATCTGCCCTTCTGATCCCAACCTCAACTCGTAACTCATCTTCTTCCTCTTGTCTCCAACAGGGGGACATACTAGAGAAGCTGGGAATTTGTTCAATGCCCCGCTTTGTCCGCTTTCTACACGACAGATTGATCATAATCAAGAAGGACCCTAAAATACTGGTGACCAACCTATACTTTGGGACAATCCCTGTGAGGCTGTTCCAACCCAGTGCAGCATCCTGTAGCCCCCGGCGAGGTGTCATCTTCTACCATGGAGGGGGCGTGATGTTCGGCAGCCTGGGTAAGGAGTTTGGTGTCGGAAGCTGCCTGGAGTGTGGCAGCAAAAGGGCCCAGAGGCACCAGAGCTTTCCTCAAGATCCCAGGAATAGCCCATAGAGTGAGTCAGAGGAACCAGCAGTGGGGGTTTCTTCAGGGGAGCACAGAAGCATGGCCTAGAGTTTACTTTTGGCTCAACTATGAGTGGCCACTTCCACAGGTAGTGGCTCCTATTTTTGACAGTCTGTGTTCTGGTAGGAACAGCAATGTCCCAGGAGGGTGCCTGCCCTGAGAGTGACTCCTCACTCAATTACATTTACAGTAAACATCTGTCTGTCCTGTTTCACAGGGACCCCTACCCATGCACTGCCCTCCACCCTGTAGGGCCATTGTGTACCCAATCCATCTTCTCTTGCCCTCACTCTTCATCCCAGGATCCCACAAATGTCCCCTGCTTCACCTCTCAACCTGAGATCTAGAGCGATCTTTCAAAACAAGCTGGAGCTTGTCCTGCTGTGCTCCAGCCTCACCTGCAGCCCTCTGTGGGTCCCAAACCCATCCCTTCACACCTGGTGCCCCTGTTGTGCCCTCCCTGTGCCTCAGCCTCTGTGTAGTTCTGGGCTGCAGATGCATCAGGCTCTTCCACCCTGTCCCTTAAGCGTTCAGTGCCAACAGGCTCTAGATTCCCCACTCTGACTTTGGCTGATGACCCCTTTTCTCCAGTCTGACCAGATGACCCGGCCAAAGGGGCCATGCTCACATCAGAGCTCAGGAATTTCTCTGCTCTGCCCTGGACCCTGTTGCATCCCTGACCTCATTCTTGTCAAATGTCTCTGTATCACTTGTCACAGTCTGAGCTGAGCTTGGTCTGCCTGTGTTTCTTGTTTACTATCTACTCAGAATTAAAACTTCAGCTATGCATGGAAAAGCCCTGTTTTCTTCGATGCTGGGTCCCAAGTCCCTGGCTTTCCGTATGTACTGTTTGAATGAATAACTAGATGTATGTGTGAGCTAATGACTGCCTGAAGGCACCAGTTTGCTGTGAACAAGTGGATGGATGCATGCATTCTTGCATGGGGAGATATAGACCATAAGCAAAGGCCACCTTCTTCCCTCATGCAAGCTGCTTTAAATGAAGGCCTGCTTCTTGTAGCTGGATGGTGACAATACCTGCCCTCACCCGCTCTTGCTCTTTAGGCAAATGGTGTCCTTATTCACAATTCAATTGCATTTCTTGTTTATGGAATCCATTCCTGGGGATATTTTTTCTTCTCTAAAAGCCTCTAAGTGCTCCATTTTCCAGGTACCTGCTTGACTGAGGGATAATGTCATGTCCAAAGGTAAGATCAGGATACATCAGCAAATATTTATGGAACACCCACCGAGTGTTAGACCATTTGCTCACACAGCTGAGACAGGAAAACAGGAAGGACCCAGTCCTTGCCCTACGTACTTGTCAGCCAGTGAAGGAGCGGGACAGTGTGGCGCCTTCAGCTAGGTCAGTAATTCCGCATGTCGATAACGCAAGCTGTTGGAGTAGCAATGCAAAGTCTTTACAATTTAGAATCTCAGATCACACCAAGCATCTCTGAGCATGGAACATTTGAGTCCAGGCTCAGCAAATGAGGACGAGCCAGAGCTACAGAGAGGGAGTGAGGGGCTGCTGTCCTAAGCCAAGGAAGGGACTTGGGAGAGTTGTATGGGGTGGATGCCTCAAGCTCCCAAGCAGGGAACACTGAAAAGCCTAGTGAAGAAGACAAATAGGGGGCCTGGCCCTAGCTCAGGCCTTTAAGTGGCTGTTTCCACAAAGCTGTCAGCCTCAGGTTGCTGGAGTTTGAACCTCACAACTCTCCTGCTGGCCAAAAGTGCCCTGAAGGCACTCGAGGAACAAACAAACAAACAAACAAACAAACCAACAAACAAACAAACAAAAAAGACAAATAATACCGCATTTCAATGCAATATTTAAAAAGCAATAATAACATCAATCTACAATGAACAAACTATCACAATTCATATACCAGCAGATGTCATCAAGCAGAGCAAGTTTCTTTTTTAATTTAATTTTTTGTATTAGGTACAAGGTCTCATTATGTAGTTTGGACTCATAGTGATCCTTCTGTTTCAGCCACCCCAGCACTGGGATTACAGGTGTGCACCACCACACCCGGTCTTAGCAGTGCCCCTGGGTTGGAGCCAACAAAGCATGCAGTACTGGCATTGAACCTGGATCCTTGAGCTTGCCGATGCAGGTGCTTAGACCACTGAGCTATCTCCAAGGCCCCAGAGCAAGTGTTTTAAGTGGAAAGAAGCAGCTGTTGAAAGCTCCACTTGCTTGCTTATCATGTGTTTCAGCATGTTTCATGTCCAGTGAGTGAATGCTACAATATGACATCATGATGCCTATCTGGATGGCTGAGGTGTCCCAGAGACCTCAACTTTTCACCCACAGTGGTTGCCTTACTTGCCTCACTCTGACCCAGCCCAGCTCTGACTAAGTAGGAGGTGGCAAGGGCAGTGCTGGGAAGAAGCAGCAGCTTGGGGTCTGGGAGAAGAAGGAAGTCTATTGGTTTTTTGAAGGTAGAAGTTAATGCTTAAAATTTTTACTTTGGCCAGTTTTACATGATTATCTTTATAATCTAAACAATTATATTGAAGACAGTAATGTACAATTTAACAACCACTGTTGAATACCTATCATTGTGTTTATTTAAAATAAATTATGCACTACTTCTAATGTCTTAACTATTACTTTTCTATTCTCTTTAAAATAAATTAAATAAAAATAAATATAAATAAAGAGAAGCACAAAAGATAAATAAATACGAAATAGGATTTGTATCTCCAGCCGGCATGCCCGACTTGCTTAGTCCTGCCATTATGCTTGTCACATCCCCAAGCCTTCCTTGTTCCCAGCTCCCTCAGTCAAGAACTATACCCCAAGGTCTACTGCATCCTGGGCATTTATGAGATTGGGGTCTCACATCTGGCTTTTCCTAGGCAGAGTCTGCCAGAGTCACTACAGAGTAGGAACAGATAGGACATCACCCTGTGCCCATATGGTGATTGGTCTCCCTAGGGCTGGGTGGGGAGATGCTGGGCCTTACACGTGAGCTGCACTGGCCCTATTTTGTCTTGTAGATTCTTTTTGTTTCAGTATTGGGGATTGAACTCAGGATGATGCACTTGCCAGGCAGGCACTCATGTTGCTGAGTTATATCCCTGGCCCATTGTCTTGCAGATTCTTACCACAGCCTGTGCAGTTACCTGGCCCGGGAGACAGACTCTGTGGTCTTGTGTGTGGGGTGAGTTTCTGAGACATTCCTCAGCTTTTCCATGAGGGGAAGAAGGTGCTGGGGTGGGGGTCCCTGGTTGATTGTAGAACAAAAAGCAAGGCTCTGACCTGGGAGGCACTCACGCTTGTGTGCCCAAAACATGGGAGTAGCTCCATTTAGAGCAGCATAAAGCTGGAAGAATGCTCATGGGGGTGTGTGTGTGTGAGCAGATGAGCTCGTGACAGTAAATGTGACTTCAGGGTCCCAAGCTGCTTTGGACTGTCATGGGACAATAAGGGATCCGAAAGGGCACAGCACTGCATGTGAGAATGTTACTGGTGAAGTATTTAGGGAAAATGTTTTAAGATTTTTAAGAGCTTGATATTCTTTAAAAGTTAATTTTAAAATGTTAATGATTTTTATTAGTTGATGCTTTCAATACATAACAGTAATGTTCATTTTTGGGAACTTGCGAATGCACTTTACAGGTGTCCTTCACTTTTCAATCCCTTTCTCCCTTACTGTTATCTCTCTCCCATTAGTCCCCTTTCCCATCCCCCAGAAGTCTGCCTTGTCTTCCCTGTGAGTTTGCTATTTCTTCATTTGTTCATTTATTTATTATTCATTGGGGTATTTAACTTTCCACATCTGACTTATTTCACTTAGCATTACATGTCTAGTTCCTTCTATTTTCCTTTTTTTTTTTGGTGGAACCTGAGATTGAACTTAAGCCCTTGGGCTTGCCAGGCAAGTGCTTATTCTACTGAGCTATCTCCCGGGCCCCTCCTGTTTTCTTACAAATGACTGATTTCATTGCATTTTTAAGGCCAAATTTTTATCTATCTATCTATCTATCTATCTATCTATCTATCTATCTGTCTGTCTGTCTGTCTGTCTGTCTGTCTGTCTGTCTATCTAATCTATCATCTGTCTACTATCTATCTCTATCTATATCTATCTATCTATCTATCTATCTATCTATCTATCTATCTATATCTATCTATCATCTCCTGTCTAGTCACCTTTTCTTTATCCATTCTTCTGTTTATGAGCTTCTAGGCTGTTTATAGGGATTGGCTATTGTGACTTTATTACTGTAAACATGGACGTGCATTCCTACAGTTTGATGTCACTTCTTTAAACTTTCCATGGCATCTTTATTGAAAATGAATATACAGTATATCAATTATGGATATATTTTTGGAGTCAAAGTTCTTCTCTGTTGATCTTCATGTCTGTCCTTATGTCGTTCCCATTCTCTTTAATAAGCATCTTATTCTATTTTCAAACTTCATTTTTTATTTCAGTACATTCGCCAAACACATATTGATCACATTCATCGTAGGGAATGTGTACTGTACCTAATGTATCTTAATTCATTTTTCTCCCCACTCCCTTTTCTAACCTTCAACACCTCCCCTCCCCATTTACAAAATTTTTATTTCCATTTTCCTTCCATTATCTTTTTTCTTTTCCCTTCTTCCCTTTCTCCTTCTTCCTTTCTTATTCCCCTGCTCATTTGAACATCTTCCCACACTTCTCAATACACACCATCCATTTTGGTTCTAATTATGCTTTTTGCTTCCCACACAAGAGAAACAATGTGAAATTTAAACATGTGTCCATTATATTTCACTTAAAAGTAGGGTCCCAAGGCGCATCCATTCACCTCTAAAAGTGTCGCAAGTTTATCCTTGTTTAGAGGAGAATGGTACTCCGTTGTAATATTTATTTCATGATTATCATGATCACCTTTCTGTTGAGTGTTCTGCAGGTGCTGGTTGCATTGTTAAAATAATTCCCTTTCCACTGGCTCAGCTAGCTCACTAGCTACCTACCTGCCAACTGCCAGCATGGCAGAAAGCAATATGCAGTATATTTTAAGATAGACCTTTTGATCTTGAGGAGTGGTGAAGAGACTCTTATGGGAGTGCTTATTCATGTGATGCAGGTTTTGTTTCAAGAAATGACAAGACACTAGAAGAGGCAACTAAGAAAAATTTAAAAATCACCCTGATAACAGTGTAGTTTGCCTCTTCAGTGGACAGCATTCACTTTGGCTGCCTAAGGTTGGGGTAGACTGCACAGCTGTGTGATTTGCATAAGTAACTTAGAATCTGTCTGCTCAGATGAGATTTAGCAGAGAAACATCTTTCCAAAAGCCAGAGTCCCGGCAAACAATGAGATATTTACACATGCGATTCTAATTTATTTCACTTAAGAATATGGTCTCATTGTGCACCTATTACCCCAGAAATTTCTCATGCTTATCCTTCTTATTTTTAAAAACATTTTGTTCATTTTAGTGAGAAAAAAGATAAAACAGCAATGAAACAGTTTCAAAACAGGTTAGTAGGATGATTACAATAAATGATACATTGCATATTGTTGTCTTCATAGTAGTTATTCAGAGGACAAGATGCAGAAATGATATCTTCTCTAGACAATATTAGTACAAACTTTTATTCTCAATGAACTAAGAGAAAGCAGCTGTCTATCTAAGTCCCACTGTCTTTCTTTATGGCTGGATACTACTACATTGTAGAAAACCACCACATATTTTATTTTAAAAAAAGAATAAAAAATAGAAAAAAACACAGTAGAAATGATGCAGAATTTCACTAAAAAATAATAGGAGTTAAATAATGGTTGTTAGATTGTGTATTAGTTGTCTTCAAATTAGTCGTTCAGATTATCGGATGTAAGCATGCAAAACTGATCAAAAATTATAAAAAAATTTAAAAGGAGTGAAGAAAAAAATGAAGCCTTAACTTCCCCTTTCAATAGGCCCGCAGAAGTCAGCAGTACAATTACCCAAACTATCCTGTATATATGCATATATATCTCATTTTCCTTTCCTTCTTTTTTCTCCTATATTTATAGCAGTGAGATTTGTCATAGCTAAATCTTGGAAATAACCCAAATTCCCATCAACTGAGTAATGGATAAAAAATATGTGGTATTTTTATACAATAGAGTATCACTTCGCTGTAAAAAAGATACACTAGAGGCTTTTATAGGTAAATGGCTGCAACTAGAGATCATACTTTTAAGTGAAATAAATCAGACCTGCGTGTGTAAACATCATATTGTCTTCCTAGTGTAAGAACTTTAAAGAGTAAATAAAATATGAAAGGTGCAATAAATACTGTGAAAGGGAAAGAAAGCATTCACCATGTATTTTTTTAAATCCATTCTTCAGTTGGTGGACATTTGGGTTGTTTCCAAGATGAAGCTGTTACAAATTGTACCACTATAAAGATGGGTGTGCATGTACTTCTGTGGTATTATGATTTTAATTCTTTTGGGAAGATACCCAGAATGAGAAGTGCTGGGTTGAGTGAGACCCCTAATGTTAGTTTTTAAAGGAACTACTGCACTGATTTCCACAATGTTTGCACTAGTCTGAATTCCCACCAACAGTGGAGAAGGGTTTCTTTATCCCCACAGCCCCTCCTGCATTTGTTATTGGTTGACTTCTTTTTTTTTTTAATTTATTGGTGTGTGTGTGTGTGTGTGTGTGTGTGTGTGTGTGTGTTGCCAGCTCAGCCCACCAGGGGGCGGGGCTGGCTGGCATGTGGTGCTGGGGGATTGAACCGCGGTCCCTGTGCTTTGCTAAGACTTGTTCTAAGTAGGTGCTTTAGACCACTGAGCCATCTCACCAGCCCCTGGTTGACTTCTTAATGTTAGCTACTCTTTCTAGGTTGAGATGGAATATCAGTGTTGCTTTAATTAGCATCTCTGGAATGACCAATGATGTTGAAAATTTTTTTTTCACATATTTATTTGCTGTGTGTATTTCTTCATGTGAAAAGTCTGTATTCATTTGAGATGTCCATTTTTGGCTTGGATCTTTAAATTTGGGAAGTCTTATTGTTTTCAATTCTTTATTATAATTCTTTTGTTTGAGAGACAATTAACTAGTTTTTTCCCCACAATGTGAGTTGTCTTTTTACTCTGTTGATGATTTCTTTTGTTGTGTAGAAACTGCAGGAGTAAATGAGGAACAAAATGTACAATAGACATTGCAAAATAAGAAGAAACTATTCAAAAAGAAGGAGGAACTAAGGAAGGAGCAGGTGGAAAGAAAACAAAAAATAAAAAGATATTAAAAGGATAAAATAGGAACAAATCTCTGTGAATAGGGAAGGGAGTAGAGTTGAAGAGAAGAGACAGGATTGGGGGAAAAAAAGAGGAATCAAAATATATCATATACAGGTACAAATTTCCTGTAACAAATTTCATCATTATGTATGTCTAAAATGCACCAATATTCTTAAAAACAAGTTATTGTCCAACTCTCACTGGCTGTCATTTTATCTGATATCTCACCATTTGAGTCGATTCTCCAAAAGGCCTTTGGAATAAAAAACCCACTTGAACAAGGAACACAGAATGATATGAATGGGCACCCACAATGATATTTTGTAGGAAAGTGCTCATTGTGTCATTGCTTCAGACGTTAGGAAAGACCTGACCTGAGGGACAGAGCAGTATCAGAGGAGCAGTGGGCATATTGCTTCAGCCAGAGGTAGGGAATAAGGCTGTCGGAGGGCAGTGGTGGTGCCTCGGAGGAGATGCCTGAGAAATGCTGAGATACTGAGGGTGCACAAGGTGTCTTTCTTCTCCAGATTGTACATCAAATATAAGTGTGAAAACATAGCCAAACTCTTTGAGAAAGTGAATTTCTTGAGTTTAACTTCAAATGTGTAGCATCTGTATTTTCATAGTCAGTGTGTGTGCTGTAATAGATTGTCATAAACAGTTGGTCTTACTGTGTTAGTCTGATTTGTATCACTATCAGAGATACCTAAAATCATCAATATCCAAAGAGAAATGGTTTGTTTTTGCCAAACATTGTAGATATTTCAGTCTCAAATTGGTTCAGCCCACATCTTTAGGCATATGGCAAAGAAGAACTAACCATTTCATGAGAGGGAGAGGGAGAGGGCGAGGGCGAGGAAGAGAGACAGAGACACAGAGACACAGAGACAGAGAGAGACAGAGACAGATGGAGAAAGAGACAGAGACAGATGGAGACAGAGAGAGACAGAGATAGAGAAAGACAGAGGGAGAGACCATAATTTCCTCTGAAGGTACACTGCCATTAGGTCACATTTCTTTTTTTTTTTTTTTCAAAGTTTTACTGATAAACAGCAATGAGACAGTTTCAAATCAAATCGGAAGTACAGTTTCAACAAATAATACACTGCATATATTCTTCTTAGTGGTTAATTGCTGTACAAGATGCGGACTTGTGATCCTATTTACAAACACCATTAGAACAAATCATTCTATTCATTAAGAGAATGCAACTATATATCTATCCCAACCACTTTGAATACACAGATACAAAATGGACATTCATCAGTGTACCCCATTTTTTCTAAGTTCCGTTATTGAATATTATAGGTGTGTAAACTCAGCAAAATATTCTAAAAGAGTCCAGTAGCCCATAATAGCATTGGGTCTTCTGTTTAACTGGCAATGTCAGAAATTATTGACCTGAGTCCCCCCACAGGTCACATTTCTTCAACTTCCACGTCCTCTCAATAGCATCTGCCTGAGGACCAGCATCTAACACATGGCCCTTCAGAGAACACTTATACAAACTACAGTATTCCTCCTGTTCCTATTCACCTTACAATTCAAATTGCATTGTATCCATTTCTAAGATTGCCCCACTTCTAGATGGCCCCAGCATTGTTCAAGACTCCTGACTCTAGGATGGTTGTTCATATTCAGATAGAAATTCATATCAGAGAGAAGTGGGGCTCACCCTCCTTATTTTGGGGTTATTATTCATGTGTAACTAGGTCAATCACTTAAGAGGGGAAGGTAGTGTACATTGTTTTAACACTGACAGCACATGCCTGTGCTTTTCTTTTTCTTTCCTTTCCAGGTACCGCAAGCTTCCTGACTACCATTACCCTATCAGTTATGAGGACTGCCTCAATGCCACAATCCACTTTCTGAAGGGCCCAGAAGCCTATGGGGTTGACCCCTTACGGGTGGTAATCTGTGGGGAAAGTGTTGGTGCTGCATTTGTGGCTATGGCTACCCAGAACTTGGTGGGCAGGACTGATCTTCCCAGGATTCGAGCTCAGATTCTTATTTGTTCACCTGTGCAGATAATCAATCTGCAGTTACCATCCTTTCAACAATACAAAAATGTCCCATTCCTCACTGAAGAAATGACGATGAATTTTGTCTGTAAATGCATGGCCATTGATGTCTCTTGGAAAGATGCCATACTGAATGGATCCTGTATTCCTCCAGATTTCTGGAGGAAGCACAGAAAATGGCTCAGTTCTGATAACATTCCAGACAGGCTCAAAAAGGAATATCAAGAACCTCAGGTTCTTGAGGCGTTCAATGAGTCTGCTTATCTGGAAAATAAACAGATATTTGATTTAACACCTATCCTTGCAGATGATGAGATAATCTCTCAGCTTCCCGAGGCCTTCCTGGTGAGCTGTGAGTATGACCTGCTCCGTGATCACAGCTTGCTTTACAAGAAGCGCTTAGAAGAGCATGGGGTCCCTGTGAGCTGGTACCACATAGAGGATGGTTTTCATGGATGTATCATTTTATTTGACAAGAAGCCTTTCCATTTTCCATGCTCCCAGAACATTATGAATGCCGTGGTCAGTTACATAAAGAGTCTATGAAAGGCTGGATGTGTAGCTCAGTGGAAAAGCACTGAACAGCACAGAAAATTCCTGTACTTGACCTTCAATACTGCAAAACTGTTAATTTCAGAAGGAAATCAATGTTTGGTAATAACATTGTGGCTCTGAGCAGTGTGCAACAAGGATAACTTGGCCATAAGATGAGGCCTTTGCGAGTTTTATTACAGAAGGACATGCTAAACCTATCATGGCCAAGACATGATGAGACAGAAGTTAACAAATGTCTGGCTCCATCTTCATGAAAACCCAAACTCTGATTCCTTTCACTGTTTAAAATGCCCAGTCTTGCATTTAGAAATATTCCATGTCTTTCTTATTCAGGTAAAATAAATGTCAAATGAATAAGTTATATCTATAATTTTCTTAAAATTTAATCCATGAGACCTATCCAGAATAAATGCCAACAACTGGTCACATTGTCTGTAGTGTTGTGCTGTAGGTAAAGCCACTTCATTTTTCTTGCTTTCAAAGACAATGTTCACATATCAGCTTGTTCTGGTTCTAGCTGCTGAATATCCTTTCTTGCATTGAATCTTTCCCTAGATGAAGTCTTGCTTGAGTTGGACTGCAGGAAGATATTAAAGGCATCTGGGGAAAGAGAGACTCAGAAAAAGAGGCAGGATGCCAGGAATGACAGAAATGATGGGCTCCTGGGAATTAAATTTGAGAGACTCCAGTGTTAATTAGAATGGTGAGGGCAGATTTTGGGCTGCTATGAGGAGGTTCTTAGAACCAAGACTGTCTTGGGAGGCTTTGAATGCCCCTGGAATGTGGAAAATGCGTTCTTTGAAGAATGAAGGTGTGGCCTCTGTCCATGGAAAGTATTTATGGTATACTCACTTCTACAAAGTTCTTTGCTTAATTTGGGCAATACCATTCTCTCTGTATTCTGTATGCAAGGTGTGGTCAACAATAGCTACATGTTTGCTTGATGCCTCTGGAGAAGCCCAAATCCCACTCAAGTGGTGGAACTGGAGTCTGTCCATTTTATGCAATCATAACCACTCTAGATACCAAAACTCTAACCTGTTAATGTTAGAATGGATCCAATAGGTGTCCTGGGTCCTTCCAATGAAGGTACAGATCCACACCAGTCATTAGACTTGGTCCCTGGAATATTAGTAGACAGTGTCTCATGTGTTATAAGTCAGCTAGCTAGAAGGAACACTATGGCAGTTTTTTTATTTCCATCTTATAGCATTAGAAATATGGTAGCTTAATGGAATACACTAGGAAAAAAATAGGTAAAGAAGAAGTTAAAATATCATTATTTGCAAATGACATGATACTTTACTTGGAAGACCTAATAAACTCCACCAAGAAGCATTAGAATTAAAATAGAAATTCAGTAGCATAGCAGGATACAAAGTCAATGCCCAAAAGTCAGTAGCATTCTTCTACACAGACAACAAACACACTGAGAGGGAAATTATAGAAATCATACCTTTTACAGTAGCACCAAGGAAAATGAAATACCTTGGAATTTATCTAACTAAAGAAGCCAAAGATGTTTTCAAGGAAAATTACAATACTCCTAAGAAAGAAATCATAGAGGATTTCAGATAATGGAAAGATATTCCATGCTCTTGGATAGGAAGAACCAACATTGTGAAGATGGCCATACTCCCAAAATTGCTGTACAGATTTAATGCAATCCCTATCAAACTACCACCAACATACATGCCAGAGCGAGAGAAATCATTCCTAAAATTTATTTGGAACCAGAAAAGACCTAGAATAGCAAAGGCAATCCTGGGCAATAAGTACAAGACAGGAGGCATTACAATTGCTGACCTGAAATTATACTACAAGTCTACTGTGATAAAATCAGCATGGTACTGGCAAGGAAATAGACCTGAGGACCAATGGAATAGATTAGAAGATAGTGAAGCCCCTGGGAACACACTCAGTCACCTTATCTTTGACAAATGGGCCAAACATACTTACTGGAAGAAAGATAACCTCTTTAACAAATGGTTCTGAAAAAACTGGCTCTCTACATGCTAGAAACTAAAACTTGACCCAAGTCTATCACCATGCACTAAGCTAAAGTCAAAATGGATTAAACATCTAAACATTAAAACAGGAACACTATATCTCCTGGAAGAGAAAGTAGGAGGAACTCTTGAAGATATAAGGGTAGGCAAAGAGTTCATGAACAAAAATCAAATCACACAGGAAACACTTGAAAGAATTAACAACTTGGTCCTGCTCTTACTGAGAAGTTTTTCATGTCAAAAGAAATTTCCAACAAAGTGAAAAGACAACCCACAAATTTGGAAAAAATCATGATGAATAAATACTCAGACAAAGGTCTGCTCTCTAGAATTTATAAAGAACTAAAAAACACTAGGGCCCCAAATTTAAAGGCCCAATCCAGAAATGGGCATCTGAGATGAACACACGCTTCTCAGAGGATGAAATTAAAGAAGAGAATAAATATATGAAAAAATGGTCCACATCACTAACCATCCATGAAACGCAAATTAAAACAACATTGAGACATCATCTCACCCCAGAAAGAATGGCTATCATAAAGAAATCACCCAATAACAAATGTTGAAGAGGCTGTGGTGAAAAAGGAACCCTTCT